TCTGTGTGTAGGCCTGGGTGCTGCAAGGGTCAGGAGTCTGTTCAAGGAGGCTCGGGCTCGAGCACCTTGCATTGTCTACATCGATGAGATTGATGCTGTGGGAAAGAAGCGCTCCACCAACATGTCAGGTTTCTCCAATACTGAAGAGGAGCAGACCCTCAACCAGCTGCTGGTAGAGATGGATGGTGAGTAGAGCTTGGGACATCAGAGCAGTTTTTTTGTCTTCAGAGGCAGACTCCTCTGACAGAATAATGAAACTCTGAAATTTTCTTCTTTTTGCAGGAATGGGAACGACAGACCATGTCATTGTCCTTGCTTCCACCAACAGAGCAGATATCTTGGACAATGCTCTCATGAGACCAGGCAGACTGGACAGGCACATCTTTATAGATCTGCCCACACTGCAGGTAGTTTTGCACACTTATTTAAAAGTTACTGCACTATACTTGGTTGTGTCTTATTGGGCTCAAAACGGCATATTCAGTCTTTAGTTAATCGACTTTTTTTCAAAATATGTTAGAATATGTAAGAATGCAGTGATGTAGTTGCACAGCTGAAATCAAATATTCTGATATATTCTCATATATATATTCTTGTTTTTGTGATATTGTAAAGCAAAACCTTGTGTGTTTATTTGCTGTTGACAAACTGCCCTAACTGTGGCAGGAACCTCCATAGTTTATCTCTGTTTTGAAAATATATCGAATGATGCCATGAGTGTATCTTATCAAACCAAAGTTTTTTGTGAGTCCTTTTTGTGAGTATCCTAAGAAGCCGTTTTTTTATACATTCTCAAACAAACAAACAAACAAACAAACATAATACTGGGACAGCTGAGCCATGTGAACTGTGTGGGAGGTTTATACAGAGTTTTTCTAGTTAATCCGGTTTGTTTCATTGTTACTCTTGTCCCTCAGGAGAGAAAGGAGATCTTCGAGCAACATCTGAAGATCCTGAAGCTGACCCAGCCAGCTAATTTCTACTCTCTGCGTCTGGCTGAGCTTTCCCCAGGCTTCAGTGGTACATACATATTTACTGTTTTGTCCTCATGTAAATCTGTGAACATCTGTGGTCATAACAGAATAATGGCCTGCACCCATGAATAAACATAAACTCTCGCTCAACAAATAGGAAACATCTTTGCACGTCACAACACAATGCTGTCGATGTTTACTGAAATGTCATTCCCATATGGTGTTTGTGAAATCTCTGGTGCCAACTCACTTTGTCTCTGCAGGTGCGGACATTGCGAACATTTGTAATGAAGCTGCTCTGCATGCCGCCAGAGAGGGACACAAGTCCATCGATACCTTTAACTTTGAATATGCAGTGGAGAGAGTAATAGCAGGTACAATGATGCCACCAGTGAACAATGGCAAAACAATACAGTATATATTGTCTCAGTTGCTACTCTGGAGAAATCTGACAAATTTGTGTGTGTGTGTGTGTGTGTGTGTGTCCTCAGGAAGTGTAAAGAAGAGTAAGATCCTGTGTAAAGAGGAGCAGAGGGTCGTTGCCTTCCATGAGTCTGGACATGCCCTAGTGGGATGGTTACTTGAGCACACAGAGGCAGTCATGAAGGTAAACACACTTCTTGATGTAGTGTAGGCTTTTATTTGATTTATATTTTATTTATACACCCTTCAACACATAATTTTATGTCTGCCACATTTTGTTTTAATCAGATTAATCTCATAGATAGTGTGACCTGATTGATGCCTGTATTGTATTGGAGAGTAGAAATGAAGTGTAAATCTAAATTAAATATAGTCCTAATTAGTAATTTCTCCTCTTTATGGATATGAGTGCAATTTTTTTTACAGATGCAGGAACTGCGTATTATGTTAAAGTTGAGAAAATGATCCTCTTTTATCTTTCTCTGCTGTTCTGTCTCATCCAGTATTTGCTCCATTGGGCTGTCATACATCTATGAGTCAAAACCAGACTGAGCAGGACATTAAACTAAGCGTTAAATATGTAACACTCAATTAACATGTAGATTTATGTATGTGGCCAGATGGGCCACCAACAAACAGTACATTTATGAATGAGTACAAATTATTAAAACAGAATTATGATTGAAAAAGACTTGATAAAATGACAGAATTAAACAAAAAACATTTAGTAAAAGAAGTAAAACTTTACCTTCTCCCCTGTTGAGGTAATTTTTTAACACTTCTTTAACTTTTTTTTTTTTTTTTTTCTTCAGGTGTCTATTGCACCCCGGACTAATGCAGCCCTGGGATTTGCCCAGATCTTACCTCGTGACCAATACCTGTTCACCAAGGAGCAGCTGTTTGAGCGGATGTGTATGGCTCTGGGAGGAAGAGCTGCGGAGGCTATCACCTTTAACAAAGTTACCACAGGTAGACTCCATCTATTGGATAACCACTGTAATCACAACCTTTCTTTACTTGAAATAATACATTCGCTGAACATCCAAATATTCATACTCTCCTAAACTGTGTAGTACACCTTGACACCCAGTAAGGTTTTAACCTAAAGGTAAAAACAGTGATTGAAATATCCTCACTCTGTGTCCCCAGGAGCTCAGGATGACTTGCGTAAGGTGACACGTGTGGCCTACTCTATGGTGAAGCAGTACGGCATGTGTGACTCAGTCGGACAGGTCTCATTCCCAGAGACAGAGGAGCAAGGTGCCATTGGACGTCGTCCTTTCAGCCAGGGCCTGCAGCAGCAGATGGACCACGTGGGTTCTAAAATTAGTTCTCTGTTCTCAAATTAGCACACTGTGAATGTTGACATGATGAATTTTGGTTATCACCTTAAAATCTTTTATGGTTCTATAATGTTTAGATATGACGGACATTGTTTTTTTGGGGGGTTTTTTTTCAGGAGGCTAAGATGTTGATAGCCCGTGCTTACAGGCACACAGAGAAGCTGCTTCTGGACAACAGAGACAAGCTGACACTGGTCAGTTGCTCGTTCTTTGATCATACATTATGTTCATCGTAACCTTTTTCTGCTATCTTTGGTTTAGTGTGAAGTTTACAATAAGTCACACATCTATGGGGGGTGGGCCTGTCTTTCCAGTTGGCGAATGCGCTGTTAGAGCGTGAGGTGGTGAACTACGATGACATTGAGGCCTTGCTCGGTCCACCACCCCATGGGCCCAAGAAGATGATCGTCCCACAAAGCTGGGTGGAGGCTGAGAAGGACAAACAAGACACAGGAGAAGATGAACCTCAACCACCTCCCCGCAAACACAGAGAAGAGGACATGAATCCAAATCTAGTCTGATCTTAAAATAGATGTCTCAGAATTCTTTTCCAGCTGCTGCATTTTGTGGGGGTCTTCACAGGCTGAATTAAAAAAAAAAAAAACAGCACTGATTCCTCACTATGAAGCTTTATATGTCTGAATGTGAAAACATCAACATTTCTTAAGAAGTTTCTTCTCTACAATCCATGCAGACTTTTGTGTAAATGAAAATTTGCACCTATTTTTTAGTTAACTTATCCCATTTAGATCATCTGAAAGAGGCCAGTGCACCTTTGAGGATGATTGTTTTGGGCAGAATTCCATCATTTTTCTCAGTCGCTTGCTGCATAGCAATACCATTACACACTGGAAGCAATTTCTATTCTATTTCTATTCAAACAGGATGTCTCTAAATAGCATTAAGTGCAACCAGCAATTAAATGCCCTCTCTTTGAATTCCCTAACATCATGTGCTAATACCTGAAACTGGTGAGGGATCATTTTATGCAGACATACTACAGCATAAATAGGTTTGGAGGTTTGGAATCAAGTATTACTCTACACTGAAAAACAGTTGATTGTCAGGGTGTCTTTTCTACTTTGTCAGAGATGCCCTATACACACACAAAACATATCTACATAAATACATCTCTACATTATTGTATTTGGTATTCAAATGAGCTGCAGGACAGAATTATAAAATACTGTAGTAAGTAGCTGTGGACATTTACACATAATAGAATGTACTTGAGTGATTTTTGACCAGGCTGAAACAGAAGTGGTAAGGAAGAAATTAAGCAGTTCTCAATGAGGAAACTTTTCTACATTTCACATTTTGAAATACCCCTTTAAGGTTATGGTTAAAATCTCTAAGGTCCCGTCATGTTGATCAAGCAGCAGATATTACTCCGTACAGCTCTGTCCTGCTCTCACCATGAGACATACAGATTGAGTTAATAGATGGAATAGGTCGAGGTAGTGTCTTTAGAGGCTCTGTATTTGTTTGATTGCCACAAGTGAATATGAAGTTCCGAAGGATGGTGTTGCTAAGTATTTAATAAAGTTTTATTTGAACTAACTTTTGTTGCTCTATATGTGGCATTTCATTTCAGTGGTACCAGATATATATGAATGAATGAATGATGAATGAATTAAGAGTAAACCTTGTGCAGCCTGTTTGATAATGAGCAATACAGACACTAAATAAAAGATTTACATTTATTCTGTAGACACCAGTAAAATCTAAATTCAATAAACATATTTAAAAAAAGAACACATAATTCAAAGTTTTCACCTCCAAACAATTTGCAGAATATTGTGTGGTACAGTATGTTTCGTTGAGTAATCATTTTTGCTGCAGGGCTTGCAAAAAGTTAATCAGATGCTGGAATGGAGGATTTTTGATCAAAACAAGAACAAACAAAATCAATATCAAAGCAAATTCATCTTATAAAACAATCACGTATATAAAAAAGAAATACATTTAAAAGATTCTTTTATATACCTCAGGCTTGTTGTATGCATCATTATTGAGAAATCCAAGTCTGAGGATAGACAAAACCAGACGTGGACACACATTTCAACACACATTCTGTTTGCCTTGTCACATGCACAGCTCCTTTCCCTGTGGCTGATCACGTCAACACACCATTTTTCTGTCTCATTTACTTTTCCTGAGCTACTCACAAAACTCTGGAGTGAGCCATTTTTTCAGCTGTGTCCAAATGATCCTCGATAAAACCTAAAGCACATTAGATTAAAGTCCCGTGGTTTTGCATAGCCTTTATTTTTCCTTTGCACACTTCAAATTTCTAAAATCTCTTCAAATGTGTCCAGAAATGCACCCGAGGCATGATCTGTGTCCCTAACTGGTGGTGACTCTTCTTTCTGAGGGGGGTGCCTCCCACCTTAACGTGGATCATACATGTTGGCCAGTTTCTTAAAGCGTGGTCCCCAGTCGCTGAGGTAGTCGTAGTCCTGGTCTCCATCAGAGCTACCTGAAGCAATGGAGCTGAGGCTGCCTGCCAGTGAACCCTCTCCCTCATAGTCATAGATCAGGGCTGTGTCATACGGAGGCACGTTCGGATCGTTGTCTGCAGCCTCTAGGCCCTGAGGAAAGAAGAATTGCAAGTTTTTTAGGTTGGTAAGTGTAAAGCAAATGTCCAGGGAATCTAAATGGACATGCCACCATGTTGTCACGGGACATTGTGCCATCACACTGGTACTCTGTGACACTGTAGACACATCACATTCTTGGCACCTCAGGATACATAGAAGCTTTTGCTCTATCATCTGATTGGTGGAGGTTATACCTGCAGCCAAAGAGGAGGACCTGTACAGACCAGTCAGGGCTGAAAAGACCTGCATGTTTTTTATTCCAAAAAATGTAATTTAAGTTATTATTTATAGCTGGTATTCTCCTAAAAAGACAATATTGGACATCAGTCAAAGATAAGACAGTTACAGATAGAGGATAATAGATGCTAAGCATTTGGGTGTTATTCTTAATCACTCAGCACTGAGAATAAAGGCATGTTTTATCATTACAGGTCTAAACAAGCCTTTTAAAGCATCAGAGAACATGAAAGCCAGTCAACAACTTTAGGACTGATAGTAAGTTCCTGTCTTTCCTGTTCCCGTCCCTGTCCTCTTTTGTATAACTTTAGATTATGGTTCGGGCCGTTTGTCATGAATTTCGCAGCAGAGGCCTCTCACATCATTGATGTAGTCCTCAATGTCAGTGGGATCCGCGGGAGGCCTCCGTGGGTAGGTGGGGGAGGGCAGGTTTTGCGGGGCATCCTTCCTGAGGGGCTGCTTGCCCCGAGGAACACCAGACCCTGGGTAGTAGGACACCGGGGTTGAAGGTGCATCATGGGGATTCCACAGCATGTCGATGTTAAAGGCATTCTGCAAAGTGAGAGCAAAAAGCTACAGATTGAGGCGGTGTGTCTCATCAAGAACCACAACAGCAAAAGTGAATATATCAGAAACTGTGGTTACACACACATACACCATCAGTTACGATTAAACACCATTAACTTACTGTTAAACAGAACCAGTAAGATTCGTAACCCCAAACCATTCATAAATTTTCCAGAGCCACAAATACTGCACCCACATTGTACAAACAGCATCCATTTTAGCATGACCACAGGATCGTTCAGACCTGTGCCCTTGACTTTCAATTCGATACTTAACTACTGCCATAAACACCATGTGACCTGTGTAGCCTTACCTCATCCTCCTCACCCCCTCCTTGCTCATCATAGTTTAAGACATTGTCACGGATGTCATCTTCTGATTCACCAACTAGCAGACCTGTTCCCTTCTTTATGTGGTGGCGTCTCCCACATGTGGTGATGGCCACAGCCAGGAGGAGCAGTACTGCAATCAATTCATCAAGTGTTAATTGATAAGTGTTTTTCCAGTTATAGGGCTCCAAATAATATTTCTTTTTTCATTATCAGTGTATCTGAAGACTATTCTCTTGATTAATGAATTCATTGTTTAGTCTTTGAAATGTCAGAAAATAGTGAAAAATGTCCATCCCAGTCTCTCAAAGTCCAAAGTGATGTCTTCAGATGTCTATTGAACAACAGTCAATCACCCAAAAGATTAAATTTACAATATATTGTTTGGCATTTTTGCTTGAAAAATTACAAAACAATATGCAATAATCAAAATAGCTCTCCATTATTTTCACAGACTTTTTTTTATCAGGTAATTGTTGCATCTATTTTTTTGTTAATGCACAATATGATATAGAAAAGGTTTTTGAGTTCGTCAGTGACTTCTGTAATAGATTTCATGTTTTGCTTGTGAGACAGACTGATGATGGCGTTAGAAGTTAGTGATTATCTGGATAGTGAATAAAAAAAAACAACAAACAAAAAACAAAACAGAAATTTAAGTTGTATAAGATGTAGTGACACCTTGACATGAAGCAATACCTTACAGGATGGGTCATTGCACTTGGACAGAGAATATATCACATAATTTAAGATTTTTTTTTAATCGGAAAAATTTTAAAATATCTGAATTGTATTTGCCTCATTCTTGTTGTTAAAAATGATTTTTTAATACAGAATGATGTGTTCAAGATAACTTACACAGTAGGAGTGCAATACTGGCCATGATGATAATGAGCGCGATGAAGCTGATTCCCACACTGGAGCCTAAGATAGCCCCCACCTGAGACTTACAGTCCCCGAAGGAGTCACAGAGACACACAGTGACATTGACCTGAGCATAAGCACTCAGAATTGGGCTGCCAGAGTCTGACACCATCAGTGTGACCACGTACTCTCCTGCCTCCAGCTCTACGAGGGGCTGAAGCAAGGCATGAGTATCTGAGGTGGGAAGGAAAATAGAGAAAGCGAGAAAATGAGAAAGGTATGATATTAGGAGAGTCGCAGGAACATCCTTTATACAAATCCACAAGATCCCCTCCTTCCTCCCCCCTTGATGCTCTTTTTCTTACAGTTGACTTGAATAACAGTCCAGTTGACTGACAGATAATCAACCGTATCAAAGCTGAAGGGCGCAGCGTGCGGAGGAAGGTCTTCATCCACTGCAGTCACAACCAGACCAGAACTCGTCCGGCCTGCATCCCTGCATACAGAGCCACTCAAAGGAAAGAGCTGAGGGGGGAAGTCATTGGTCTCCTTCAGTGTGATGGCAACTGTGCCTGTGGTTGACACCCCATCAGCGTCTACAGGAGTAAACATGAATACACAGCAATGCTGCATAAGTATACAGCATCTTATTCATTGTTGACGTGCAAGTGCAAAGAAAATAAATTACATTTTGTATTAGTATGTTTTTTCTTAAAGGGGTTGAAAACACAGCTGGGACAGGTTAATTTCACATTTTTAACACAATTGAACTTGCAAGAATGTTTTTGAAGCAGAGATATTGTTGTATTTTTGAATGAAAGTCGACTTGCAACTCGTTCAAACTGTTGAAATGATCAAATTTTGTATTATTAAATTTTTAGGAGAAAAGAGAAAATAAGTGGATGAACCGACCTGTAACCTTCACAACAGCATTGTAGATGTGGTTTTTAACATGTGGAGATCGCATGTTAAAGGTTCTCTTGGCCATAATGTCTCCAGTATCTCTGTTGATGTCCAACCATCTCTCAGGATCTCTGGTAATCTCATATCTATCACACAGAGAGCAGAGCAGCATTTTTTTTTTATTATTTACTAGCATTTTTAGAAACAGGAATATACTCCTCATGTTTTGCTGTGGCATCTTACCTCAGGACAGAATTATCAGGGTCAAAGGCAATATTGCTTTTCAGTAGTGTCCCAGGAACCACAGACTCAGGGACCACAATCTGTATAGGGTCCTCCCTGAAATGTGGAGCTTCATTCTCATTCACGACCGTGACCAACACTTTAGCTGTGCTCACTGGGAGGTTGGGAGCCTTGTTGCTCAGAGTATTGAGGTTTTCCACTGCCAGAATCAGGCTGTACACACTCTTTGCCTCATAATCCAGGGGCTGCAATACAGGAGAGAACACACTGTTTGTGGAAGAATAACATCCCGCTGTGGTTGAATAATATAGACTATATACATCTATATGCATAAAAAAGGCAGAGGCTTCAGTCATTCAAAACCTATTTAACCACCCCACATAATATGTAGGAAAAGCCAACTCAGCACTTTTGTCTGGGTAACTTGTAGTTTAAACCACCAACACTAAACAGTGTTGTTGAGTTGTGTCTGCGGGCCTCAATGCACATTTTAATTTAAAGGGCAACGTCACCCATTTGGAAAATCCATGTTATTCCTGGGCCCCAGAACAAATCATAAATCAATCATTTGTTTCGTTATCGATTTAAATTTGTCAGTGTGACTTTGGGTACATGACATGAGTCCGTTTGAACGAACGTTTGATCACACAATGAATATGTGATGTGTGAATGTGTGATGGATACCCAAAAATGACCACAACCCCTCCCTCACACTCCTCCCGCTAACTGTACCTTCACCACTGTCAGAACACCCTGGTTGGTGGCAGGATCTGTAGTGATGGCAAAGTTGCCGCTGAGATCATTGGAAATGACGTATTTGGCCTCCCAGTTTCCTGTTCCACGATCGTCTCTGTCTGTCACATTCACCCGGCCAATCTCATAGTCCTGCCTGTTCTCCACTGCTGTCATACTGTACTACATGCACACATATAAAGCACAGATCAAAGGATTGAATGTCGTGATATATAATTAATTGGATTAACCACTTAATAAATGTTTTAAATAACAATTGAAAATATCTTGTTTCTTAAACTGTTGTCTGAGACTCACCGAGGCAGGGCTAAACTGTGGGGCGTGGTTGTTGATATCAGATACATGTATGATTGCTTCACCTTCACCGGTTAGTCCCATGCCCCCCATATCAGCAACCTGTAGTTTTAATCTGAAACCTTTCACCACCTAAAACAGAATTCAGTACATTTTAATGAAATTAAAATTAATATAATGATCTGCAAAAATCTGCATCTTAACCTCAACCTGCATTTTACCTCTCTGTCCAGGCCTACATCCCTTGTGTAGATGGCTCCTGTCTCGTTGTTAATACCAAACATGGTCTTGGTAACAGCGTTGGCAGGAATGCTCTCCTGGCTGATGATAGAGTAGCTCAGATATGCGTTTTCTGTCATCGGGTCATCTGCATCGGTGGCTGAAACTGACATCACTGATGTGCCTATCAAAAATAAATCAGTCAGTATGAGTCCCTTCTATATGACATTATGTGTGTGACGAGACTGAAGGACCTCACCAAACAAGTCTTAAACCTTCCTCTTACTACCAAAAGTGGAAAGACAATGTGCCTCTACGTGGAAACTATTTATTTTAAGTCACAAATTATAGCAGTTTTAAATTGTTATACGGTATACTGTAGTTTCACTGACACACAAACCAGACTGTTATCAAGCAGGATGACAAAAGTGTTATACTCCATTCAAAGCTACTTTATAAACTGAAGCTACTCCAGGAAGTAAATACAAGATGGGGTTTTGGAACATTATCAAGAAGATAGGAAAATTAAAAGTTAGCAATGCAATAGGATGTACCTGGGACCGAGAACTCAGAGACAGTGCCAACAAACTGGCTCTGGGAGAAGGCAGGTCTGTTGTCGTTCTGATCCAGCACCACGATCTCTATGGTGGTGGGATTCTCTAGTCTCTCTCCACTGGGGGACAGTGCAAAAGCTTTCAGCTACACACACGCACACAAAACACACAAAAAGATACAGACAACAGACAAATGTTTCTTAATAAAAACTGCATTCATGAGATTGTTGTTTCTTACTATCAAATACCACAAATCTGATGCATTTCATGAAGGAAACGTCCAACAGGCCACTCGAGATGGCTGTGGGTATTTGTGGTATGTGCACACAACATACTGCTGGAAGTGGCAGAAAGAAATGTGCAGGATGTATGGTTCAACATCATGGGTTACATCACAAGTCATCTGGTGTGAAGCATTCTGAAGTCTCTCCCAAGATGCCCATAAAGGCCCTTGGAAACTGACCTCTGGCTGTTTGTGCTAGTGTCTGAGACACTGATATATGCTTTAAGACAAAAACATGGACCCACACTTTGAAACATGTGGGCAAGGTCTCTTTGATTGCCTTGTGTCTTGTGTTAAGTACCTTCATTTGATTGGGCTTTAAAAGACATTTCAAGTGTCTGGGTGATTTAAACTGTTACACCAATAAATGCTCTCTTACTGTGAAGCTGTTGTATTTCTCTCTGTCCAGTGGCCGCTTGCTCCGGATCACTCCTGTTTTATCGTCTATCTCAAACAGATTCTTGGGATCCTGGTCCACGCCTGGTCCCTCTAACTTGTAGATCACCTCACCTGTGAAGATTTTGTCCGATTTGATCTAGAAAGAGACAGAAGATAAAGCTGATGATTGTTACAACCTCATGGGAAGGGGGGGGGGTTCAAAACCAGATGTCGCAACACCAGATGTGTGTATGTTGACAGTGTTCAAAGTGAGCCAGGCCTTTGACATATAGCAGGAAATAAGATTCTGAACTAACATTTTATGCATTTTGTGTTCACTTTCTTTGACATATTGCCTGTGCAGCATGTTCATAACTTTATAAAATTGATTCAATATTTTTCCTTGTACAGTATATACTAACTGGTCATAAGTCTAACAGCCTAAACACAACATTTACATTTCACATGTCTTTTAAACACTGGTCTGTGCTATCTGTGATGAAGAATTACAATCAATAGTGCTGTGATTACTTAAACCCCCCCCCCCCCTTCTTCCCCAGCTGCAATTTACCATTAGCTAAACCCCAGAAACTCTCTTACTAAACCTAAGTAAGAGGGATAACCTTTCCAAAACCAAAGAAGAGTGACTGTGTAAGAAATTAATGAAATAGCGTGTTAGTCTGCTCCAATGTAAGCTGCAAATATTGGCATGTCTAGTTAAGTGCTAACTTACTGTAGTAGCCAAGTATTTTTCCAAGTATGTAAACGAAGCAGCCAAACATGGTTATGTTAGAATAAAAATAACAGTCTGATTTTACATTTTTCCTTCTATGACTAGCTCTGCATTGTACTACAAAAACAGTGCATTACACAAATCATCAGCTGTTGCTGGCTTTTTGCCTGGCTCATGTAGCTTTAGCCTCAGTCTTTGACACCTATCAGGTGCATATTTTAGATACCTTAAAGAGTTCTCCTTTTACAACTAGTCAGCTGGAAAAATGGAAAAGTCAGCTGGAGACAATGTTTTAAACAAATTCATGGACATAACTTTAGCTTAATTGTTAGCCAATGAAACCAATGTTCACTGTCTAGAAATAAGAAGCCTTGTCTGGCTCTGTCTGAAATCACGGACCCATTGTTTGGAAGATTTAAAAAATAATTTGAGTTGTAAATCTGCCTTTTGTATATGATCTATGTGGTAAGAGGCACTTGCTCTTGCCCAGAGAGTGTTTCCCTCTTGTGCTGCAATGGAGGCATATTAATAAAAAGAGTGAATTTTCTACTTAAAAGAGTCAGACTGCTGAAGCCTCAAATTAGCTTCAGATAAACTTTTTATACATTTGGCACAGAGCAAGGACTATGTGGATTTAGTCACTTAACATTTGAAAATGGAATTGGAAACGATCTGTTACTGAACAGTAGGAACAGAAGGAACATTTACAGCAAACTAGTTTCAATGTAACCTACTATACATATGGCCACCCGACATTTTTTCTTAGACAGACTTGAAATATTGTGAACCTATCCTTTTATACCAGAAATTATACGGCAGTTATACACTGATGAAGGTCTCATGTGAAAAACTATAATTCAATTTTTTTTTTTTACCTGGACAAGGTTTTCAGGAACCTGCTTGCTATTCTCCAGCACTCTGATTGGAGGGATGATCCAGTCCCTCTTCACCCTGACCATTCCCTTGCCTTGGTTTCTCCAGGGGTGAAGGACCTGAGGATGCAGCTCTTCTTCATTGCGATGAGGTTCTGCAGAGCTCCACACCTGTAGGAAACAACTATAGCATGAGAATCACAGAAGCGAGTCACAGGAATATGTGTTTAATTAAACATTAATTAAACATTAAGACACATCACATGAGTGTTATAATCAGATATGGAGGTATAATGTATGTCAGATCACATGAAGTGTATTCCAGACATTCTCCCTCATGGAAAACACAAATCATGTCATTATTATATTCAGTCATTATATAGATATTTGCAGCTGTTTAAAACAAGTTCAAGTGTATCCCACAGTGCTATAACACTCCCAATGGCCTGATGGAATGGCTGTATGCTAGCTTGTAGTGCTGTAATGTGAAATCCATGGGATTGTCCAGGGCAGAAGGGATGAAGGGCCGCAGCTTCAGGTTTCACTCACTAAGACTTGTCTTTGTCAGCTTCCTTTGATCTGGGTGCAAATTCAACTCAGGATGAGGAAACACAAACACTCATGGTCATTTCACAAACCCTCCTTCACCACATTGCTGTCTTCAACACGTTCACACAAACACACACACACACACACACACACACACACACACACACACACACACATTTGTGGGGTTCTCACACTCACACAACAGCTGTCGACTATGGATTTAGATCCTGTGCTTTCCCACCCGCATTCCCACTCACACTCACAAATTCCCCTTTATGCTTAGCTCTGCACCTGACTGGGAGTTTGGGGTCACCTTACGGATCTGCTCTGCTGAAGGAATTCCACAGACACACTCATATCCAGGCTTTCTCACACACACACACACGCATACACAGATATACATGTCATCAACAAAACACCAACCCACGCTTGAGCATATATACACATTTCCGTAAGCTGCTTCCTCCTCTGAGGGAATTCACATCCCATATGTTAAACAGCTCACAGACATAGTCCTCAGAACCAGAAATAAATGTAAGATTTAACTGAATATTGATGAATAATCTGTTTTCATAGATTTTTAAGTGAGCCATAACTAAATTAGTTAAATAATGAATCAGTGGATATGAATATTTTGTGAATGGCCTGTGATCCCTGCCCTGCCTCTGGGGTGGGTGATCTGATATTCTGATCCTCTGGCACGCTGCTGGACAGTACGGGGAGGAATGGCAACCATGGAGGGCATCTGCAGGCCGAGTCAGAGGGCAGGCTAATCTTAGACTGTTCTATATTCTTGACCCCTACCAATTTAACTTTTTGTAGCCGTCGTCATCCACACACTCACAGAGAGATGTTTATACTCGCATTCCAGCAGGGCATGTCTCCCACACAAATTCATCCTGATAGCTATCTACAACCACTACCAAATTTAAGACTTATGCATATATGAGCTCTCAAACCTCCACTGGCATAGCACACATTCTGTATTGTCACTTAACCTCAAAGTCAATAACAGCTGCATCACAGCTGTATTTCCAAATATAGCACTTTCTAAGTTTGACTGATTTGTAGACTCATGAACACCTTTTTTAACTTTGAGAATGCACACACAGCGAGGCGCAGACCAGCTTCAATGCAGTTTCTTTGAACCTAAAAACACATCGCACAACTATTTTTTTTTTACTACATTAAATTCCCCAAATGAACAATAGGACTTTTAGTTAAAATGACGAATGTGTACAGGTTGACCATTGATTGACTTTGAAATTAGTTAGGGTAATCCGTAAACATGAAGAGATAAATGAAACATGATTATACCATACAAAGTTGAGGATGATGGTTGATGGATGGATGATGTTACTAGTATTAAAAGGTATTTCTTCATAAGCAAAAGTATTGGACTAAAATGTTTGACCTTATGATGGTACTAGAAAGGTTAATGGATCACCAAAGTTATTACAGTTGATATTTAGTCAGGACATTTCACTCAAAGCCACAATTGTAAACCTCATCGTAGTCAGAGGATCACTAAAGTCGGTAGGATACATCATTTGAGACCCATGAGACCATGTGCTAATCCATCTTGTAGATGTTGAGGTATTCTCCAAGTGAAAGTTTCACCTTCGGGGATACACAACGGGAAAAGTCAGGGGATTACCATCACACATTGTCTGGGCATCATGGATATCTGTACCTAATTTCATGGCTATCCATCCGATGGGTGTTGAGATATAAAAAAATAAAAATAAAAAAAAAAGCCACCCCGCTGGTGTTGCTACAGGAAAAGTCAGGCGACCATTAAAGTCAGTGAGATTTATTATCTGGGGATTATGAATGTTTGTACAAGATGTCGTCTCAGTCCATCCAATAGATATTTCAGTCTCGACCATAGAGGTGGAGTGACAGACTGACTGACCAGCTAACTGACAGACCAACATGCCGCTAGCAAGGCTAAAATTGTACATTCAACCGTTTTGCCCACTAATGGTTAAAGATGAAAGATTGCATTTTATAAACTATAATATTGAATGTTTTGTATTTATGATCACTTACATTGGTTTTGTAAATTTCTGTACTGTATGCACTAGGAGTAAATACTGTGGTATAGTTGTTTTGTGTATTCATTATCAATGGTCATCAATCTATACATTACACAATTGATCAATGAACTATATAGGATACAGTATGAGGAAACTGGAAAGAATCTCAGACACCACCGTGATGAATGCAAGAAATCTGAAAATGTTTGATGAATAAAGAGGCGTGTAAAGTAGTAAAGTTTTTGGTTTGATAGACTAATTTGACCTTTTCCTGAATATATAACATTAAGAGAGAGTCAGAAAAGCTTACAACATGTGTTATTCTGGACACTTCCTTTTCACACCCCCTATATCATTGTCATGTCCTGTCCCTTTAATCAGAACTTAAAACAACTGTGTTTTGTCTCCACCAAGTATCTGCCACTGTTATAATGTTTTTACCAGACCTTGATGTGGTAACACCAAAGTGTCATGTTACCAATTAGACCAATGAGTTCTTTTTCTGTCAGGCTGAGTGATGACACCACACGCAGATTAACTGTTTTAGAGGCTTTTCCCAGATACTTTTACAACTTGGCCTTTCACCTCAAGCCCTCACAGAAGTATGGACAGCTTGTTTGGGGATGATATGCCCTCACAGCAAGAACCATTAAGCACTCTGCTGCTGAGGAGTGTTTACTGAGTTCGAGAAAGTTTGATTCTACCACCGTGATGTTGGCTTTGGAGAACAAAAGTGTACTGTCACATTGTACTTGGTATTCTTTAAAAAAAAAAAAAGAAAAAAAAAAAGAAGTGCACTAATGGACCTACTGTATCATAGTCTATATAAAGAGCTAGATTTTCAATCTGCCTCATCTCTTGGAGATGATTTGCAAAAGATTTGGTAAAAATATGCACACTTGCCATACTTAAAGACAACCCTGTAAGAATGTCACAGTTGTATTAATGAAAAGCTAACACGAAAACACAAAGCATTGGTCTGATTAGTAGCATCTTAACATTGTCATTTATAGTAACAACAGAACAACTTGCTGTTATCCAAACTTGTCAGAAAGAGATGATATGCAGGGGTCACATATCAGCAGCTAGACTCAAACATATAGTGTAAGACTGTAAACAAAAACACACACACACACACACACACACACACACACACACACACACACACACACACACACACAAACACACACACACACACACACACACACACATGAACATTCACCATGTGTTGATAACTGTAAAATTGCTTTGCCTCTTTTGCTACGGCTGCAAATGTTTTAAATCTCAGACATTCATTCACAAAGCCATCGGAGCTGTCCACCTTCCAAGTATTGCCACTGGTACAAATGAATTACTTCTTGGACACGCATTCATAAGCCATTACAGTTGCCTTTCTATGCGTGCCTATAAACTATCTTAGTTTCCCTAGCAATGCAAACGCCTATTATGTGTTGCAAACCATTAACATCGGTTGATATTTTGATTGATGTTACAAGATTATGGTAATAGTATGGGGTGTGTGGCATGTTCACACAACGGTACAAATGTGGAGAAATGTGAAAAAAATAATAATAAATGTAACTGTGACAAATCATACCACACTTACCATTACATTTGACAAAAATGCTATTTGCCATTTTGTAGCATTTCAATTTTTTAGAAAAGCACAGAGAGCGCTCACTGTAGCTATGTAGAGAAGTATGTATTTGTTTCTGTACTAAATCTCTATTTGCCTGAGTGTCTCCTCTCCATGAGTGTGTGTGAGTGGGACAGTTGTGCAAATAACTCAAGCAAAAACTATGCACCCGAGAGGAAATGTGTCTGTTGCATGGCTGACAGTCCCTACGGCCACAGGGCTAGAGGTCGCACAGGTGTCCCCCTGGTCACTTCTGTTACTGGTCCTCAGGCACAGACATTCAACCAGTCAGTCACCAACAATACTGGTCCCACACGCCTACTCTTTGCTTAGTCATGACTGCCCGGCATGGGCATGGACACCCTATTTATGGTGCCACAACAAGTGTGTGTCTCCCTTGTAGCAGATGTCTGATCTAGGAATGCTGAGCACGGTTCTAACATTAAACCAAGACTAAGGGGAGAACTCAATAAGGACATAAACATGGAGTTGCTGAAAAAAAACCCTCAGCAAAACAATGTCATCTGATAACTACAATTAACACAGTGATACCAGGACCAGATGAACTGTTATACTCCTATTATTTCCCAGCATAGAAGCCCTATACATTGTGTTTTGGTTCTGTTAATGAGAATACACCTGAACAAAAACAGAACTCTTAAACTTTGATGGATCCATTGGTGGTGGGTGCATCGTTGCAAACTCATGCTGGTGGGAGAAACATTAACAGCCCTAAAACCTGCAGTATTTGGTAGAAAGTCCAAAGTTTCCACAGATAATAACGATATCAAACTGAATTTGTAGTAGACGTGCAAAATTATTACCAATGAAGACTTTGAATATTTCACACAATGTAGGTACAATAAGAACTAGATGTAGGAAAATAGAATATGTAATACAAAAATGAAAAAAACATTTCAGATAGTAATAGGAACAAATAAAAATTCAACAAACAATTGAAATTCAAAAATAATTTGTACAAATAATTGTATAGAAATGCTCTGTATATAATGTGTTGAGGTCTTTTGTGGTAATTAAAGAATGGTTTTTATGCATCTTATTAACTTATTAAGTAGCAAGCTGTCACCATTTGGTCTTCCATGTCTGAGTCTGTAAAAAACACTGATGCCAAAAAAAGCCACAAGGAAAGGACTTCACTGTTCAGTGAACCAGCTTTTATGATCTGGAAGTTGTCTCTCTACCCTTTGCTCCATCTGAAACCCTAGTCAGTGTAAAACAGCCTGCAGGTATCCACGCCCAGCAGGACCTGTGATTCAGACTGAACCCTCTGACTGATTGTTTCCGATGAGTGAGACCTCAGCGCCAACTGGCCGCTGCTACAGTCTCTTGATTTGTACCCGATTTCATGGTCCAGAAGTGGCCCACTCCTCTTACTGCAAGGGGGATTACAGAGCGGGACAAATGGCATCACGTATGCATCTGGGAACAGCTGTGGCAGCTGCCCACTCCTCGCCACAACATACATCCACCACAGCGGGCCTGAACACTCTCCAGTTCAAAACAAGCTCAAACACCAGCTTACTGAAAATTAAAAGAGCACAACTGAAGCACTAGAGAAAGCTATCAGGTGACACTGATCAAAGCGTCTGGATTGGACTGACAGCTGCTGATGGTTAAATTCATTTCATTCAGATTATTTATTTATTAGAATTCATGACGAATTTCTTTTTGTTTTACTTCAGGAACAGCCACCTCTGGGAATCATTGTAGAAAGAAAATGTGTGCATTGTGTGTCGTGATTCATCACATAATATATCAGGTCTATGGTTTGCTTACAAAAATAATTCAACAAATAATTTCTTTTGTTTGTCTATTTTTCATATGTGAGCTTTTAGCACTTGTTGTTCAGCACATAGCAATTTTTCCTCTTCCAACATAGAGAAATAGCAACTGAAGATTCTGTAAACGGCCTGTATTACTGATGTAGATTCACTCATTAAAGGAATAAACCACCAAAAATGTAGCTTTTGAATCTTCAGCCATTTTCTACGCCTTGAACGTGGCTTTAAAAAGTTTACAGCTTGTTTCTTAGAGAAGGATAGTAAGTGTAGTCAATCTGGATTCACTGCAGCTCCAATGGATTGTATTGCAATGAACTAAAACTATCAAAACCTTCGTAGAACCTTCTCAAACCAACTTAAAGTATAACCCACTTCATTCAGTGATGTTTGTGTTCAGTGTGTTCAGTATTGTCATTGGTAAAGTAGTATTTGTTTGGAGTGATTGGAGATATTTTGATGTTTATTTTTCCTCCGTCTTGATGTTGAATTACAATTGCAGTCCACTAAAGCTGCTGTTTCATGTGAAGGAGTCAGCTATAAACTTTTCAGAGGCACCTTTCAAGCCTCCTCTGGGTTAGTATTTCATATTCAAAAGACAGATCTTTGGTGAGGCAGACTGTTTCCATTTAATGAAATCTGCAACACAGTAAACAAACTGAATAAGACACTTTTTGTTATTTGGTAATCGCCCTTCTTGGACTTTTAACACTTCTGGCATTTGAAGGTGGAATTTAACCCCATGTTTAACCCCTGCAGAGTTTAAGTAGAAGTTCTCTGATATCTGCATCAAGGCTGAGGACTGAGATCCTGCACCTCACAGGTCATGCTTCAGGGTTTACAGCTCTTTCAAATCATTCACAGGATTATTTATTTATCTTCATATAAATACAATTATTACTGAGGTCCTGAGGATTTGACCAAAATATCTTTTGTGTAATGTCACTACACACTGAGGCCTCACTGTAACGAACTGGTTTTCCCCACGTCTGTGTCAGTGATCTATGTTCAAAAGGAGACACCTTATGTTGTCAGTGATTTTCTCCACAATCAATTAGCTGTGGAATATGGAAATGAACCACCAAAATAGCACAGATTCACCATAAAGACATTAAACAACTCACACGGTCAGAGACACTTCACAATGAATTATAGGGCACATCATAACAAGAATCACACAAGGCCCACTCACTCACCCTGCCCAACCTGGGCTGCATTACTACTCCAAACAGAGGGAAAGACTGATGGCGGTTGGAAGTGCTGTTGGTAATATGTCAGTTTACATTGTCATCCATTTTAGATCTCATAATGGCGTCTGCTGACAGGGGCTACTAATGATGCCCTGAGCCCTCTGTTCACATCTGGAGTCTCGTCCTCCTCAAAAAGCTTCATCATCCTCCTTCCGAGCAGGATGAATTGTTTAGATCAGCCACAACCTCTGATTGCAGAGCCAGTGTGAGTGCCTCTGTTGATGAGAACTAGTTGATGTTTGGTTGATGGCATCACTCAGGTAAAAACATAAACTGTGTATCTGAGGAGCGGGGTATCTAAAGGTCATTCTCTAAACAAGATCACTCTCTGAAGGGGCAGGAAGTGAGAAGTAGTGAGCTAAAAATTGGGGGTAGGCTGAATCTAGATCCACACAGCAGGGGAAGAGAGGGGGGCAGTGTCACACGGTGCAGCTCGGTGCAAATTGAGTACCTTTACAGCAGCCTATGAAATCCAATTACTTGCTATTAACATTTTATAGAAATCAGAGAACGAAGAGGGATATACCTCCTCCACTAGCGCCATTGCTCATGCACCTGTGGTCTAAGTTCTTTTTATAACTTTTGTATAATAAAAATATTTATAATTATTAAGTCAACTGTTAAACTAAACCATCAGCGGAAGACAAACCACAAAACTGCCACTAGTCACAGCAATCAACTCGGTAAGGACAACTTTAACTTTTTTTCCCCCTCCTCTCCTTTCATCCACTGAGTCTGTGACAAACAAGCTCACACTGGATTCAACAGAAAGCAAACACAGAAGTACTTCAATGCTCAAATACATCAACATACTTGTATTTTCTTTCTTTGTTTGTTTTTTTGAGCATCAACAATGAAGAGGGAGTGACTTTTACTTACCTGACAAAGCAGAACACCCAGCAAACACACCATCAACATCTGTACCGCCATCCTCAGTACCTGCACTCAGAAACTCAGTATGAATAGACCACTGATGACTAAAAGATCTGAGGCTCCCCCGCTGAGAACTGGGCTCCTGAATGGCTACACAGGGCGAAAAGGCCCGACTCTCCAACCCTGAATTCTGTCCCCCTCTTTCCCTCTCTCTGTCCTCTTGCTCTTGCCGTCTCTCTCCCTCTCTCTGTCTCTCTCCCTGCTTCCCTCTCCCAGCGTCTGTCTCTCACAGCTCCTCCCTGTCCATAGCAGGGGTATGTCTCACAGTCGCGGGGTAGGGGGGTTAGAATTTCAGCAGCGTCCCTCCCAAGTACCCCAGCACATGTGCTGTCACTCACAAACCCAATGAGAGAGGGAGAGAAAGAAAGAGAGAGAGAGAGAGAGAGAGAGAGAGAAGGATGAAGAGAGAGGCAGAGCAGCTGTCGGTGGTGTAGACAGAAACAGTGTCTTCAACAGTTGAAAGCAAGGAAGTAAACCTCATTTAACACTTTTCAAAACAATAGTTCTTTACAGAGAGACATAAAGGAAAGGGAGAAAGGAAAAGAAAGCCAAGACAATATGTGAAATCAGGACATATACAAAGTAGAAAATGTGGAATTACTATTTCAGTAAAATGCCAATAAAAATAAATGTGTTTTAAAATGTTTTTTTAAGAAATCAAAGCACTCATTTGGCTTCTCGAAAACTCTGGTGAAAGCTATTCCAAATTCACTGAACTATGGCAGCACTGACACTGACGGTACAATGTGAAGTCAGATGCAACACTAGTAATCTGTACATGGCCTAATTGAAGACACTGTTGATGGAATTTGGGGTTGTGAAACTCTCAGTGTAATGCCATGGCCATATATGGCCAAACTAAGAGGGAGTCTCTACCAAAAAAAAAAAGGTCATCCAAATGAATTTATTATTTTTCTTTTTTTTTTTACAATTAATTGCTTAAGCATATAAATTGCCTGACATTGGTGAAATAATCATGATCACGGTTTCCTGGAGTCAAGGTGACATTGTTTTGTCTGAGCAACAGCCTAAAACCTAAAGATTTTTAGTTTACAATTACATAAACCATAAAAGGCAGAAACAGAAGCTGAAACCAGAGAAAATTTGACATTTTTCATTGAAAAATATTACTCTATTATTAAACAATTAATCAAATGGGCTAAATGTAAGTTTTTGGTATCACTACATAGCCAATATTAGCATTAACAGCTGTTTAGCAGCTAGCCTCAGCCTGGCACCGTCACTTTCCGATAGGGAGTCACTGTGGCGTCCAGTCTGCCCTGAAGAAGTAGCTGCTCAGCGGGCGTATTATAACCTCTTGTCTTGTAAACACAACAATGGCTGAAGCTGTTGCCAAGCGATCATCATCACCATCCACTCTGGGCAAGAAACTACATTCTGCCGCAGAGAAAACTTACATATAGCACCTTTAATTATCAAAATTACTGAAGATTATTTCTCTGTCAAATAAATAATCAATTACTGTTTAAGCCCTACAGAACTATTCTACAACTTACAATTACATCCAAAACAAATCGCTCTATGACATGATACTCTGGACACAAACATCTATCTCTAATACCCCATGGTAATAAGTCACAACTATGGACTATTTTCAGTTTTTGAGAAAATTGAAAAACAGCTAATGACATCAATCCCAGAGCTAAAAACTGCCACAAAAATGAATTCAATAGTTTGATCAGGCCGATCTCTTTGTAAGTCTTTTAACACCTGCTGCTGTCGCACTAAGGAAAATAGAAATACAAATATCTCTAGTATTGTACAGGGCCCACTTGACAGCACAGCATACTCTTCTGTTTAAGTCTTAAAGGGCTTAGAAGTCGTTTTCTTCTTAAATCCTTCTTGTCCAGATCAACCTTCATGTCGTAAGGTTGCATACGTAACCTCGCTGTCCAGTGCAGCGTGTGTTGTGCCCTCACACATTCAGAACATTCAGCCAGAACGCTTTGATCTCCTGCTATTTTGAACACTCTGTCTAAGCAGAAGATGGAGATGTATGGTGCTCAACGGGAGACGTCAAAACAGAGATCGCCTGGTCCGTGATGCTTAAAGTTTGACTGAAACACTGCCATGAACGATCAAGTACAAGTGTTTTAGGAGGTGGTTGTTCACCTTGGAGGGAAAAAGTTGAGGAAGTTGGTTTGCTTTGTTGGTTAGATGTTCTCGTGGGAGACACAACCAGCAGGAATGGTGTGTTTGGCATTATGGGACGGTCAGACGAGGAGTGAATGGAGTCCAGATCTGCTCCACACCACTTTGAACACTCATCAACATGCGCTCAGCAAGTCTGCTCACAGGTCAACGGTCGATACGGATCTTTACAAAGTAAACAACTCTTGGCTTCTCTCTCACCACAGACACTCCTCTGCTTGCAGGTCAGACACCTATTCCTGTTGGAAACCAAAAGTGATGACTATCTTGGACATTAAATACCACTACACAAATGAAACTCTGTGTGTTACGAATGTATAGTTACAAATGAGACAGACATACTGTGGATACAGTTGAGAGACTCTCATGCTAGAAAGTAGAGCAGCGAGAATAAGTGCGTGTGTTGGCAGGCTGACTGTGCGTCCTGAATGGGTGTCTGCATGCTTCCATGCGTCAGTGTGTTCACGAATGTGAGTGTGTGTGAGAGTTCTGGTATAAAGGGGAGATTTTACAGCACCTGTCTCTGTCATTTCAGGCAGAGGCAGTTGGCAGGAGCCACACTGATGTTTCGCTTCCTCCACCCCCACCCCCACCCCCACACACACAATTCCCTAACAACAGGATCCCATACCAGAGTGCATGCAGATATTCTATGTGGTTCTGGAAGAATGTCGCTTCTCCATTGAGTAGTCACAATGAATGTTCTGTGTGAAACCTGTTCAGGTGCGTTCCTTATAAATACGACTAGGTCCAAAAGTAAAGATAAGGTTTAAAAGTTGAACCAATTAAAATCTGGCTCAAAGTGTTTTCTACAGATTCAGAGACAGAGCTCTGCTGCCAGCTGTTGGTGGGAGGAACAGCTTGCATCAAATGAGAAAGAGTGGACAAGCATGCAGTCTCTGTTAAATATTAGTTACACATCTAAATCTGCAGAGTGATGTGAGGGAAATTATGATGTTGTGATGGAACAGATGTGTTTTGTCTTCGTGGGGAGTTCATTGTGCGACTTGTTGTTCAGGTTAAGAGTGTTATCAATCTGATATTCATGCAAGCGAGAAGACTCGGCGAGGACATTGTCCTTTGTTGTTGTTTACTGTTGCCCGGATTGTTGAAATTATTAATGTTGCAGAACACAGATTTTGTGAAATGTTTGGATAAGAGTGTTCCAGTGAAAGGGTCCAACTTAGCCTATTGGGTAACTGTCTGTTTTGGTGTTTTGCATCTTTGCCAGAAGGCGCTGAGCGAAGGCTAGAAGAGAGAATGCCCTGCACAGCGTCATTTCTCCGTGTACACGTGAAAACAGATATTAAAGAGCACTTTCGCCTGATTTCACCTATGGGGTTAAAGAATTCTTTCTTCAATAAGTTAGATAACAGAAGAGAGATTTTTTTCCCTTACAGTGAGCTATTAATCAAACTTGTGAGTTAATTATTATGAGTGATGCCTTTCACGCTACACTTTTACACATTTGATCCAATTTTGAAATATCAATTAGAGCAGCTTTAAGAACACCCTAAATGACTGTATTCATGATTTTGTATCCTTTGCTGCTATATAAAGACTGTGGGAAAAAAAATCTTGTTTAAAACCATTTAAATGAATTTTATTTGAAATATGAGCTGCATGGCTACAGCGTTGTTGATATTGATGTTCTTCATAGCCAAAGCGATAGATAGCCAGAAGGCCAGAAGGAAGGAAGACCTAGCCTATTACAAATTAGGCTATTAATAGAGTTATTTGCCGTGTCAGTGGACAGTTCAAAGAAATTGCATATTGATAGATATTACAAACACATGAACTTCAAAAATATGCAAGTTGATTATATATACTGTTGGAAAGAAGATGACATGCAGATGCAACATTTGCACACTGCACCTCAGTGTCAACTTTGAATTACTAAGGACTATCAGACCCAGTAGAACACCATGAAATGAGATCACGCGTTTCAAAGGCTTGTTCGCGCAGCGTCCCACTGAGGCAGTAATAGCGAAGCTGTAGTAAGGTCACTGTAAAAAATATTCTTCTGAACACACAGGTGGCTGGGAGCCCCACTGATCAGGAAATAAGAAACCAAACCTGGTAGCTGTCTGGCTCACCAGGCAGACAGTAACACTATTAATGATGAATATTGGGAGGAAAGCAGAGGAAACCTGCACTTGGTTTCCACACAGTATCTCTGACGCCAGTGACAGGTACAGTGGTGAACCATCTGGAAATTTACTGTTGATGATTTTTGCATCATTACTTTGTCTAAATGTCTTTTGATCATGAAACACACTTTAATAAAGATAAGGAATAAAAGAAAGACATGAAGAATATTATCATTATTTAATTAACAGCCCTTAATGGGGAAAATATAATAAAACTTTTATTCCCTTATGAGAAAAAAATCTCCTCTAACAGACAAAGTACCTCTTTAAAGGTTGATTAGACTTTCACAAATGACAGGATGAAACATCTACTGGTCCCATAATCAATTTAACAAACCATCTTCATATCAATATTTATTCATTTATATATGTTAATACATTTATATGAATTATATAATTTATTATATGGATACTTATACTTTATATGCACCATTTGTTTTACTTTGAAGTTGCCTCAGCTTGCATCTCTTGAACTTTGTCTGAGAACAAGTAAGTAATTCCACCATATCTTGTGTTGATAATTCATTAGTTAATGCTGGTCATACAATTTTTGTTCAATAAGAGCATAAACTGGAAAACCATTTCAACAAGAAAACTAATGTAACTCAATTTATTCATTACTTTAATTTAGGGTTAGGGTTATTATTAGGGTTATTCTTGCTTGCTTGCCTCCTC